GAGCTGTCGAATACTTAATGACGGTAGGTCTGAAGTAAGTGGTTGAAGCATTAATGGCAAATCTACAAATCCTAATTTTTTTTATAATTGCTTATTATGCCAGAGTATTCCCGATCACATGGAGCAACAGGCTTCGCCTCCTGCTACCACTCCCAATCAGTCGACTGGCAATACCGGCGTTTCACCAACAAGTGGGTATATGAATCAATGTTGCGTTGCATTTGGTTAGAGAGGAAGGAGAGTGAATTATAATGATTAACTTGGTGACTTTTCTTTTCCAGCCCAGTCTCCGAACGTACAATCAACACAAACACGATCAACACCACCACCGCAACAAGCTGTTGCTGGGGATCTTAACTTTTTGAGAAGTCAACCGCAATTTCAGCAATTGCGACATTTAGTTCAGCAGAATCCAGCACTCTTGCCTGCATTGCTCCAACAAATTGGACAGGCAAATCCCCAGTTATTGCAGGTAAAGCTCCTTCTGTCGTTAAGCGAAATCTTTTGCTGAAACAAAAGCTGAAAATGGGATTATTTATTGATGCTTTGCGTAAAAATTCTCTCTCTCTCTCTCTCTCTCTCTCTCTCTCTCTCTGCTTTTGAATAGCTCATTAATTCAAACCAAGATATGTTTATGCAATTATTGCAAGAGTCCGGAGGTGAGACAACCGGAGGAGGTCCTCAGCCCCAGTACGTCCAAGTGACACAAGAGGAAAAGGCAGCCATAGACAGGGTATGTTCACTATCATAGTAATATTTATTATATATCACCTGTTGGTTATGTTACTAAAATATCAATCCCCCCCCCCCCCTCTCAGCTCGAGGCTTTAGGATTTGACAGAATGCGCGCTATTGAGGCGTTCCTCGCTTGTGATCGTAATGAGGAGCTGGCTGCTAATTACTTATTTGATCATGGGAATGATGAAGATTAAAACTTCGCCACTATTCCGTTCTTGTTCTGTTTTACATTATTTTTCGTATACCGTTTACAGTTGTTACGTTTCGGAGATTGCTCTTCATTCGTGTGTATAAAAGATTATGACTTTCTTTATTGTAAAGTTTTGTTAGTGTGATTGGGCATGTAATGCTAATTATATTCGCAATACAAGGATAATGATTGGTGGACATCCAGATGACACTAGTTTTTGTTGAATACTTTTTTTTTCGGCCAATCTATTATGCGGATCAATTAAAATTTAAACATTTGACTTGGCTTATATGTATTTATTATGGATGTTTCCTTGTTTTCATAGGCAGTATAATGTCCATAAAAGCTATGCAACACACTAGTCGAGTGCGTTACTGATCGTTCGCTGTGAGACTAGGATTTTTCTCGACGAAAAAAACTGTTCTTTGAAAAGAATAATAACATCAGCATAACATGAAGGATTTAGTAAAAGGAGACGAGGCTGATATTCACTTTACGTTTTGATAAATCATACCGTTTATACTGTCTACAAAAGTACCAATCAACGTCAATTGATTGTTTTCTCCATTTTCTTTGAGATTTGTAGCCAATTAGACAATATTATTCGCGTGCGATTGCTTGGATCTATTCAGCGTAGCCACACAATAGTAGCTATTAATACGGGCACATTATGCATTTCTTTTGTTTTAATCACGGAACAATCAGAAAGCAGGCCTTCCGAGATACCTGTCATCTCTCTGCGGATCGTTTTCTGAGGCGCTTCCTAACCGATGCCGTTCGTGCACGGAAACAGAAAGTTGCGCTTGTATCTCGTCATCGTTGCGCGAAATACTGGACAAAAGTCAGATTTCCTCCTTTCCCTTGACTCTATTAAAAATAAGCATACCACATTTTGGACACTGATTCACGCCAAGTGGGAATCAACATTCCTCCCTACGCGGGTATTCCTTGTATACGATGTGTGAGAACCGAGCATATTGTGCGATTGACGAAATACGAGAATGCGGATATCGAAGAAGTTACAGATCCAAAAGAGGATGAATAAAAAAAGAATCGTATTATGGTATCTGTTCTACCCTACTGTGCTCTATTTATGCCCCAATTCAATGTCACGAGGCAGTTACCTGACGGAGTGGATGGCACTAACGTTTTCAGACTTTTCCACACTCCCCCCCCCCCTCCCTTCAAAGAACGCCAATCTTTTTGCAACCAATATTTTATTTATTTATTTTTTGAAAGTTTTACAAGAGCATGCGAGATATCAAACTTTCAGTTCTGCCCCATATTAATCTAACTTTCTGATCATTTGTGTTCTGAGTACTTGATCTGTGAAAAGATTGCCTAATTATAATCTTGAACATTTATTAAATTATCAGGACTTTTTGGAAATGCCCAGAAGCTGATTGCCGAGAAACGAAGATAAGGATTATAAGATATCCACAGTCGCATTCAATTAGCACATTCCAAGAATAACTCTGGGGGGCTTGCAAGTGACCCTGTTGAGCGGTGAGGAAACAAGATGCGAGTTCGTTTGTGGAGATGGCTGTGTTCATCGATTGTCGAGAAGCAAGAGCCTTTTCATAATATTTGGCGGCCATGTGATAATTTTGCTCGACATGGTTTCCGAACTCGAAGCAAGTACCCATTAGGTACTGGGCTTACAAGTGACCCTGTTGGGCGGCGAGGAAACGGGAGGCGAGTTCTTGGGTAGAGATGGTCGTGTTCATCGATTGCCGAGAAGCGAGAGTATATTGGGTCATGAGATGGCTTTGTGCTGCAGCCTTTTGATAATATTCTGCAGCTGTGCGGTAGTTTTGTTCGACATGTTTGCCGAACTCGCAGCCAGCGCGGTACGGTAGTTTTGTTCGACATGTTTGCCGAACTCGCAGCCAGTGCGGTAGTTTTGTTCGACATGTTTGCCGAACTCGAAGCAAGTACCCATTAAATACTGGGCTTGCATGTGACGCTGTTGGGCAGCGAGGAAACGGGAGGCGACTTCGTGTGTGGAGATGGTCGTGTTCATCGATTGCTGAGAAGCAAGAGTATATTGGGCCATGAGATGGCCTTGTGCTGCAGCCGTGTGATAACTCCCTCATTAGGTAAGTGACCTTGTTGGGCGGTGAGGAAGCAAGATGCGAGTTCGTTCATGTTGATGGTTGTTCATTGATTGCCGAGAAGCAAGAGTATATTGGGCCATGAGATGGCCTTGTGCTGCAGCCTTTTGATAATATTCTGCAGCTGTACGGTAGTTTCGTTCGACACGTTTGCCGAACTCGAAGCAAGTATGTGACCCTGTTGGGCGGCGAGGAGGAGGCGAGTTCTTGGGTGGAGATCGTGTTCATTGTGATGTGATATGTATTGTGTGTAAATATTAATATGTGTAATATCTTTAGAGGACTTGTGTAATTTATATTAGTGATGTGGTAATGGAAGGTTGCGTATTTAAGTGTAGTCAGTGAGCGTCATGAAGTTGGATTGCGACGTTCAGGCTATCTGACATTGTTCACTATTTTCTTTATTATTAAGTCGAAAGAGAAATAATGCTGTTTCTTATTGATGTTTCTCTGTGCCTGGTCGACTGCGTCAACTGGGTGTTGTGTAAAGAAGAGACAGTGTCAGATCCCAACGGACTGTAGTGATGTAAACTCCGCTCTG